AGGCCCGGCGCCCAGTGGACGCGCAGGGCCGAAGGCGGGGCTCGCCTGCCCCTCCCTAGCCTCTACTTAAGAGGCTCGGGCGCCACCCCCGCCCCAGTGCGTTACTTACCTCGACTCTTAGCTTGTCGAGGACGGTAACCGGGACCCGGTGTCTGCTCCTGTCGCCTTCGCTTCCCTGACCCGTAGCTATCATGGTGAGTGGGCCTTGTGCTGCGCCGGGCGGTGTTCGGAAAAATGGGAAGGAAAAACGAGCGGGAGAGGCTTGGAGGGCCTCTCATTAGAGTGAGTTGGGACGAACGCCTTTTTAGAGAGGAGGCGAGGGCGGCAATGGATGGGACTGAGTTATCGATTCTTCACGTAAAGATGGCTGAGCACTGCATTAAGACCCTGCAGTCTTCCCGCGTGTGCCCTTCCCCCACCGGTGCCCCCCCTTCTGGCGGGCGGGCGCGCGCAGACTTCCCGCCCTCGCTTCCTCCTTGGCGCGAAAGGCGGGGGCGAGAATGAGCGGGAGACAAAGGCGCACGCGCGACCGTTACCTTCCCGCCCAATGGCGGCGGGAAAGCGCCCCTGCAGTCTGCGCATGCGCGCTACGTGGTGTGCCTCTGCGGTTGCAGGGCTTCTCTATTGCCCTGACTTTATTTTTTTCCTTCGTTTTCAGTGAAAACATTAAGAGGAATATGGGGAAGGGCTCCTTAACAGTAGCATGAGGTACACCGCAGCATATTCAGAAAACCCAACTCCCAACAGCTCATGGCTGCCATCTTCTCGCTACCATAGGAAATCGTGAGGGACTAGATGATGGCCTTTGGAGGGATCGGAAATCTGATCTTGCTCCATATCTGTGTTGCTATCAATGCCCTGTTGACATCCAGATTGATGGAGAGGTGCAGGCTGCGGGAAGGCGAGGGAGGCCGCGTCTGGAACAGGGATGATGCACTGGCCAGGTTGCTCCTTACCCAAACCACAGAGCCCCACCCTGGTAGCAGCAGACGCATTTTTTTCTGCCCTGCTTCGGCCACGTGGTTCCTGTGGGGCTGGCCACTGGGTGAACAGATGATATCCTCCCTGTCTTGGTCCTCCAAAGGAGGAAGCTGTGACTAAGCAGTCTAGGTTAAGTCTCTTATTTTTCTTTCTTGAGGTCAAGATTCCATGAGTGTTTTTATACTTGTTTCTTTTTCTTTTTTGGCTATGTTTTGTTTTTTATTTTTTGAGGCAGGGTCTTACTATGTAATTGAGACTGACCTGGAACTCACTGTGTAGCCTCCTCCCTCAGCCTCCGCAAGTGTTGGGATTATAGGCATGTGCCACCACTCCCCGTGATCCTGAATTTTCTGTTCCTCCCACAGCGTGAGTGCATCTCCATCCACGTTGGCCAGGCTGGTGTCCAGATTGGCAATGCCTGCTGGGAGCTCTACTGCCTGGAACATGGCATCCAGCCCGATGGCCAGATGCCAAGTGACAAGACCATTGGGGGAGGAGATGACTCCTTCAACACCTTCTTCAGCGAGACTGGTGCTGGCAAACACGTGCCCAGGGCAGTGTTTGTAGACCTGGAACCCACAGTCATTGGTGAGTGGACCTCAGACATGCACTGGGTGTGGGGCATAGGGTGCTGGGACACAAGGGCTGTGTTGAGGCCCCAGGCTTGAACAGCAGGTTTCTTTTCCTCTTCCAGATGAAGTGCGCACTGGTACCTACCGCCAGCTCTTCCACCCTGAGCAGCTCATCACAGGCAAGGAAGATGCTGCCAATAACTATGCCCGCGGGCACTACACCATTGGCAAGGAGATCATTGACCTTGTCTTGGACCGAATTCGGAAATTGGTAAATGCCATATGTAACTTTTTCCCTTTTTTGAAACAGGGACTTACTGTGTTCAGGAAGTTGGAAAAGAAGCAGGCATTGGTGCCTGAGGCATTCCCTGCCTCAGCTTCCCAAGTGCTGGGATTATAGGAGTACACCTCACAATGTATTTAAAAGGGAGTTGAAGTTGTAAGTTAAATGAAGCGGCCAAGTGACAGCATTCATTCAGCTTTTGGTGTCTGCCAAAATGTGAATTAGGCTGCTCTATTTTTTTTATTGGATTTTTAAAACCACACAGTTCAGCGTTAATGTGTCTGTTTTGCTAATTTCTCGGTCAAACTGACATCATTGATACAATAATGGCTTATGATTTAAAGAAATTATGGAGTGTCATATAAGAAAACAGATTTAGCATTAAAATATTTTTCCTTTTTGTTCCCTTGCAGGCTGACCAGTGCACAGGTCTACAGGGCTTCTTGGTTTTCCACAGCTTTGGTGGGGGAACTGGCTCTGGGTTCACCTCCCTGCTGATGGAGCGTCTCTCTGTCGACTACGGCAAGAAGTCCAAGCTGGAGTTCTCCATTTACCCAGCCCCCCAGGTTTCCACAGCTGTAGTCGAGCCCTACAACTCCATCCTCACCACCCACACCACCCTGGAGCACTCTGATTGTGCCTTCATGGTAGACAATGAGGCCATCTATGACATCTGTCGTAGAAACCTCGATATTGAACGCCCAACCTACACTAACCTGAACCGCCTTATTAGCCAGATTGTGTCTTCCATCACTGCTTCCCTCAGATTTGATGGAGCCCTGAATGTGGATCTGACAGAATTCCAGACCAACCTGGTGCCCTATCCCCGCATCCACTTCCCTCTGGCCACATATGCCCCTGTCATCTCTGCTGAGAAAGCCTACCATGAACAGCTTTCTGTAGCAGAGATCACCAATGCCTGCTTTGAGCCAGCCAACCAGATGGTGAAATGTGACCCTCGCCATGGTAAATACATGGCTTGCTGCCTGTTGTACCGTGGTGACGTGGTCCCCAAAGATGTCAATGCTGCCATCGCCACCATCAAGACCAAGCGTACCATCCAGTTTGTGGACTGGTGTCCCACTGGCTTCAAGGTCGGCATTAATTACCAGCCTCCCACTGTGGTGCCTGGTGGAGACCTGGCCAAGGTGCAGCGGGCTGTGTGCATGCTGAGCAACACCACAGCCATTGCTGAGGCCTGGGCTCGCCTGGACCACAAGTTTGATCTGATGTATGCCAAGCGTGCCTTTGTTCACTGGTATGTGGGTGAAGGGATGGAGGAAGGGGAGTTTTCTGAGGCCCGGGAGGACATGGCTGCCCTAGAGAAGGATTATGAGGAGGTTGGTGTGGATTCTGTTGAAGGAGAGGGTGAGGAAGAAGGAGAGGAATACTAGTTACCCAGTTCAGCCCTGCAGCATAATCATGATGCTCCCAGAACCTCAGCTTGAGCATAGATGAGAAGCACTAAGGTTTTGTGGTTAGATCATCTTCACTTGATCATGTCCAAGATCTTCACTGGTCAGTCATGTCTTTTTTCCATGTGTACCTCTGATTTTTCCATCATGTCTTAAAGTAAAATACTTTAAGGAAGTTTTGCCTCCTGAGTTTTTGTGAAACTGCCTTGATCATTGTAGTTCATACTTCTGAGTGCAGAGTTCCTATAATATAGTGGTAGTTTCTGACACTGCCATTATGAACACACTGACCTAAAAACAAGACCTGGATTTTCAGCACTTTGTGAGACAGCCTCACTGTGCAATTTAAGTTGGCCTTAAACTTTTTTTTGGATACCAGGGACCAAACTCAGCCTTCTGCTTGTGAGGCAGGCAGTGACACCACTGAGCTAAGTCCCTGGCCTGTGCCTCAGACCTTGGACAGTCCTGCCTCATCCTGAGTGCTGGGTTAATACTAGGTATTAACATCTTCACAGGTGGTTTAGGAAAAAACCCGCCAGTTATTGTGAATACTGTTAACATTGGAGGATGAGTTGAGTGGTAGATAAGAACAGAATGCCCTAAGTTCAATGTCCTGGGCTGCCAACTATTGTGTACTTGGAAGTGAGTTTAGATATAAGTTTGTCTAGCCTGTTACTGGCTTGGGAAGTATTTTTTTTAATCTCCAGATGAATGGGAGGACAAGTTGTAGGAGCAGAACTTGGAGTGATTAGCAAAAGTCCTGCCAGAGAAGAAAATCAAACTGAACGATAAAAAATTGCTGGATGAAGATTGGATTACACACATGAAAGAATCACTTAACAGGACTTGATGTTCAAGGTTAGATTTAAAGAACTGGTTTTATCTCAGGTACTATTTGCATGTGTGAGAACCACAGTTCTGGGTTCAATTCCGGATACAGGATGCAGGCTGGATGTGGTGGCATATGCCTACAATTGCAGCACTTGAGAGGCTGAGGCAGGATCACAGCAATTTTGAGGTTAGCCAGAAGTACAGAAGGAGATGCTATCTGGACACTACCCTCCCCAAAAGGAAAAAAAGGATTTAAACAGTTAACGAGGCCTAGGAAGAAATGAAGCCTTCAAATTCTGAAAGCACTAGACAGTATTGCCAAGAACAGCTATTATCTTTGGTTTAAGAAGAGGGAAAATGGCTGGGGATTTAGCTCAGTGGTTGTCTTCCTAGAAAGCGCAAGGACCCAAATTCGATCCCTGGTACCAAAAAAAAGCTATTTTTTTCCCCCCTAGTCCTTAAAGATTCACAGAAAATTGTTCTCAGCTACCTAGATATGAGTTGGCCAACTAGTGTTCTGATAAACTACATGATGCAGGCCAATATAGATGTGGCCATCACAGACCTCAGGGGACCGTAAAATGTTTCAGTGGCCACATTGAGATAGATATGGGTCCATGCTGAACTCACTGAGGAAGACCATTTTGAGAGATCTGTAGCCTGAACAAACCTGCCCCACCCCAGGAAAAAGAAAAGTGGGAAAATTGGACCAGAACTGGGAAACAGCAACACAATTCACCTAGGAAGGTTCCTGGGGGTGGCCTAAAATCAGGGAAATACAGTTTGAATGTAAAATGTGCTTTTTCAGAGTTGGGGCACAACGGAGAAGCTAAGTTTTGTACCTTAGTAGCCTTGAATTCACAATGTAGCCCCAGGCTACTGGCGAACCTCCTGCCTCTGTCTCCCAAATGTTGGGGTTACAGGAGTAGGCCACAACACCAGCAGAAACCATGTTTGGAATTGTGGTTTGGTTTGCTTTGTAGAGACAGGGTTTGTCTTTCATTTTGTTTTGCATTGCTGAGGATAGAACCCAGCACCTCACACATTGCTAAGCAAGCACTCCACCACTGAGGTACACCCCTAAACACTGGGGTGGAGCGGTGTAACATTTTAATAAAAGATCTTGCCAGGTGTGGTGGTACATGCTTGTAATCCCAGCACGCAGGAGGATCTCCATGAATTTGAGGCCAGCCTGAGCTACATAGTAAGACCCTATCTTATAAAACAAAAGATTGTTGTCAATGAGTGGGAGGAAGAGGAGGAGGTTGCTGTCAAAAATTGCTGATTCCTTTGCCTGGCAAGTTAATGCTGTTGGCAGCTGGTCTTTTTTTTTTTTTTTTTTTTTTTTTTTTTTTGTTTTTTTTTTTTTTTTTTTTTTTTTTTTTTTAGGAAGTTTATTGGTCTTTAAATGCTCAAATTGCAAATGAGTGAGTTGGGTAGTGGCATCTGCCTAAGACGTGATGCATCTTTGTCAGTTGGTTTCATAGCACCTCAGTAGCCAGGAAAGGAAAGGTCTCAAAAGCAAAGTCACAATATTAGTGGTTAGGCCCTCTGGTTCAGTGAGACTGCGACAAGTACAGATGGTGACCCACCACCCAAGTTACAGCGGTAACTTGGATTCTGCCCATAGCATAGCATAGGAGAAAAAATGAAAGGTGGATATCTCAAACCCTTATGGACAGATACTGAACGGACAAGCTGGATGTGATATCTAAGGAGCTGAACTCCTAAGGACTATTTTTGATAACTTCAGATACACAGCTGTTACCTGGAATGCCTGAACACAACTTTGACCTATTGAAATTAAGTCTGACAAATGAGAAAGACTTCGCTGAATCAGCTGCCTTAGTTTCACTCCAAAAAGGAAAAGGAAACTGACAGTGGTATATTTTCCATTGAAATTACGTTCCCAAAGAGTGTGCTATAATTCTTTGGGTGGGAACAGTACCCAGTGGTGACAGCCTGACACCCTGTCTGTGTGCCAAACATGTTTTCTGCACTGTACCTGGGTCTAATTGCTCCCTGCTGACTTTAGGAAAATGTAGCTACAGTGTTCTTTGTTATGCACATAGACATGTAAATATTCCTAATAAGTCCCATAAAGCCAAACTAACTTCATGAGTACAAACTTAGAAACGAATAGTTAGCAAGCACAAATATTTACCAAAGTGTTCTAGTGAAAAATGAATTAGCACTTTAGATGGTTTTCCCCCTGCCCTGCTCTCAGGAGATTAAAAAAACAATATTTATGTGCTTACCACTTGCAAAAAGTCATTTCTAAGCCGGGCGTGGTGGCGCACACCTGTAATCCCAGCACTCAGGAGGCTGAGGCAGGAGGATTGCTGTGAGTTCAAGACCAGCCTGGGCTACATAGTGAGTTCCAGGTCAGTCTCAACTACATAGTGAGACCCTGTCTCAAAAAACAAAACAAAACAAAGTCATTTCTAGGGACCAGCATCTTCAGAGGAAAAAAAAGTATTCAACCAAACAACTGGTGTGGAATCCTAGTCTAAAATTATCTTACAAGTGTATGCTGGCCCTTCATTTTCAACTACCTTATAGCTTATTAAAAGCAATCAAGGGGCTGGGGATTTAGGTCAGTGGTTCTGGTGCCTGCTTTGCAAGTGCAAGGACCTGAGTTCAATCCCCAGTACCAAAAAAACAAAAACAGCAACAAAAGCAATCAAAGAGCTCTGAACTTTATATTTTCAAGAACCAGAGTATGACACACATTTCTGAATTTGGACAGACCCCTAGCAGACAGTAATTTCACAAGAATCTTCTATACAAAAGCTGCCCTCCATCTAGGCAAAATCAGGCCTCTCACCAGGATGCAGGAGGCTGCAAGAGGCCACAGAAGGCCCCTGGTACTAGTGAGAATAAAATAAAAAAATTTTTTTAAAAAGCTAAAATGATACGAAATTTAAGCTCTATAATAAACACCAGAGGAAGTGGCCTTTCCTCCATTCCCCATCCCCATTTCATTTCTTTATTTAACAGTTCAAGAAAGACTGCCCAAGAAATACAAGCTCACGTGCTGCATTCAGGACTGTGGTAAATGTAGGTAATTACGAAATAAGTTGAACTTTGCTTCTTGGTGAAGCCACATGAATTTCTTTTTTAAGTGAATTTGACTTTCAGTGTAGTTCCAATTTATGCTTTTAGTGATACATAACAATTTCCAGAATGTTAAAAAGTAATTTCAGTCAGAGCCTTGGATGGCAATGCTTATAAATTATATTTATTAGTATGGTCAAGATAAGAAAAGTTTGGGCTTTGATTATAAAATGTAGCATCTTTCTCTGATTCTCTTGGCTAAACTTTTCCTCTTCTTTTTTCCATTCTTTTCTTTGCTGTCTTCCATCTTTCTGGCTCGAATTTCCTTCATCAAGTCAAAAAATACCTTCTCCGCGTTTCTCGCAGATGTTTCCACATAGTTCACATTCGACCGATCGGCTCTGTTTTTTGCCTCTTATACTGAAACCTGCCTTTCATCTTCTAAATCTGACTTGTTGCCAACCAGTATAAAAGGAACATTTTCATCTTCCTTTACTCTTAAAATCCGCTCCCTGGAAGTCAGCGGTGGCTGCCAAGGATTCCATTGCTGTAACCGAGAAGACACAGAGGAGGCCCTCCCCGCTCCGGAAGTAGTTGTCTCTGATTGCAGCGTAGTCCTCCTCCTATCGATCTGCGCTTCCTCCCCATCCAGCACGACCTTCTCCCTGTAGCCGTCTGCTCTGGTAGGCTCCGATTCCTCCACAAACTCATCATACGTGAACTGCAGGGTCAGGGCCGATTTGCCCACACCAGCGCTGCCCACCATGATGACTGTGGAGGGCCAAAGAGTTCTGACCCTTGGGCTTTTTTGCGGCCCTCTTTTCTCACAGAGTTTTCATCAGAGGCTTAAGGAGAATGCGCGTGTGCGGCGAGCCGGTCCGCCGCCCGCAGGTTCCCGAAGCTGCGGCTGTGCTGCCTCTAGCCGGAGGCTCCGCGCCGAGAGCGGCGGGAGCAGATTCGGAGCTCCGCTCCGGAGAGAGCCACCGCCCTCCAGTCCGCTCTGCTGCAGCCGCCGCCGATCACTTCCGTGGTCTTGTTTCTTTACCACACGAACTACTGCATGGGGCTGTGCAGGTGTCTCCAGATAAATCAGCAGGCTTTCTCCAGAGTGATCCATTGTGGCAAGTTGGAAGCCACAAGGTCTCATGACCAAACTTTGAAAGTCACATTGTCATTCCTACAGTGCCCTATTCATTACATTTGTCCGTCAGTCTTTTTCAATATGGGAGGAAACTGCACAATAACAGGTAAACTGGGTGGAGCGGCCTATTCTTGCGATCCCAGACT